GGCTCTGAGATCTTGGATACACGGTCCTCTCTTTCTATCTTATGGAAAAGGTAGGAAAAGTGGGGGTAACTAGCAGTCCAGAGGTATATAGTCAAAGGTGCAGGATATCAATCATGAAACTATCCCTAGGATGGAAAGTGAAAGGTGAAAATTTAAACCATTGAAGTTAATGGAGAAATTTTTCACTTTTCACTTTTCATCCAAGGAAAAAAGTTTCATGATTGATACTCAGGAGCTATTTTTTATATTTATTGAAAGCGAGAAAGAGACTTCTAGTGCAATCTAGTGCAGGAACAGAAAACAAACCACTTGGATAACGAAAAAACGCCCCAGCTGTTTCGACTTTCGAGTTTTTCGACCTTTCAGCCATTTGAATCAGCATCAAATAAATAATCTCTAAAGTCTGTTTCAAATCACTTATCTGATTTAAAATATCTAAAAGTGTTTTGAGCATCAAATTATTAAAAATTGCTAGTCAATTTAATTCGTGGTATTAATACAATAGTTTAATTGCGTTTATAAGTCCGGAAAACCAATTCAACGCACAGTTCGAATGATTATAAATATGGTATATATGCATGTACATACATACACACACATATATATATATATAATATATATATAGTATATATTGTAATTCAGGTTAAATTATTTAAGCAGTAAAGATTTAGTTTTAACCGTTATGGCCATTACTTTTATTTCTTATTATTGAACATTAATAATTTTGTTATTTATATTTATCTGATCATTAAAATTAATCTAATATAAAATCTGATCATAATCATTAAGATTTGAATGATATTTAAATATCATCCAATAATAGTTTTGCATTCATGCACGAGTATTTATTGAAATAATGAGAATGTTTAAAATGTTATTTTATTTTTTTATTGGCATAAATTCAATTAGCATAAGCTGTATATATTCGTATATAACTCATGTGTGCTTGATAAAAATCTATCTTTAGTCAACGATACTTTTCGTGCAAATTTATAGTAGTGGAATTTATAATGGTTGTACAATATAACATATATTTCATAGTATCCTCAGTTTCAAGGTCAATGTATCACATTTTCCAATACAGGGCATTAAATGTTATTTAAATGCATCTCTTGGCTTTGCAAGATTTGATACATTTGATGCATTTTAGTTATGCCACGATTTATATGTAACGCACGGAGAATAAGTAATTATTAATTACAATATATTGATATTCGTGAATAGGTAAGTTAATTACAGACCGTATTGCATTTTCAACCCTTAGAAGCATTTTTGAGAGTGTAAGCATGGATAACACAAGTACGCAAATACGATACTTATGTAATACGAATATATAATAACATAGAGAGAATTATTTTTTTTTAACATATACTTCTCTCATGTTTTTAATAACGGAAAGAAATGGAGAAGATAATGACATCTTTTAAATACAATTATAACACAATTATATAGTGTCTTAAATAGTCAAATAGTGCTGGCTGTCATTTTTAAAAGATTACAAACTCATAGGAATCCAATTAAAATGTATAATGATATATCAATCTCATACGAAATGTTGTCAAGTTAGTATTATAATGAGCTAAATTTACAACTATGTGCTTTAATAACTTGGAATTGAACTAAATTCATCTAAATATGCTTTGGTAGAAGCATGATAAAAACTATATAACTAAAATTAAACACAATGTAAAACTTCACATGGAAGTCGGAGACCAAAAATTCATCTCTCTTAGTTCTGATGGTTTAGCTTCGAGCACGTTTACGTAAACAGATGACTTATCCGCTGATTTTTCTTCTTTTCCTATATATGTAAGATTTTGAGACGATATTGATTTTTTTCGATTAAGTGGCTTGCGTGGCTCCATGTCTGGAAAGAGCTCGTCCTCCTCATCTATCTTTGCTGTAATTACTTCCCTGGACTGACCTAATATGCTTGCCAAAATCCAATTACCCTGATATTTTTCTTTATCCGGTACAAATGCACCAGTGAAATATCGATTATGTAACTTCCTGCGTGCTTTTGGCGAACTGTCTGGAGATCCTGTTGGTGATGTCAGTGGTGTTGCTGGTAAAGATTTGCTGACACTTTTCACTGAGTTCTCTGTCTGCTGCGAACGCGAATCCGATGTGAATACTTTGGTGAATTTACCAGACATCATTTGACTAGCTACATGAACGATTGATTTGCCACAAAGAGCCGGTTCACCATGAAAACCGTCATCTGTCCCCTGTGATTTAAGTTTTACATTTCCACTCGCTGAAGCTTTATCTACTCTAATACCACCAGCTAAAATAATATATATCATTATATCACTGGAATAGTATCAAAGAAAGTTTATTTTGCAATTATTGAAAGTTTTTTCGCGCTGATTGGATTATGCTTTTAGATCTAAAAGTATTATCCAATTAGGATGAAGAAAACTTCCAACAGTTGTAAAATAAACGTTCTGCTGAACGCGGCCAATAATAATATTGTTAGTCAGTGTTTCGCATATTTAAAAAAACACAATTTTTTATAATATACCTGTATTATTTATAACCGGTATAAACGGTTGACATGGCAAAGGATGTTTGCTAAAATCAATCTGCTTAACCTCTTTCAAGTCAGAAATGGATTTTTCACTCGTTATCTGATTCGTAGAGCTCGCAATATTTTCGTTTAAAACCTCAGTTACAATGTGCTTCAATCCATGTTGTGGTTGAGTATTTTGCGATCTTGGATATCTTACGTAAAAAAAACTATCGTCGTAAGATGGTGGACTGAATGCGGCTTCGTCAAAGTCAAATCTAAAAAAAATATATTATGTCTGTAGCATATAATGCAATTTTGTATACTAGGTCACATGTAATCTAGTAAATTACTAAAACTAACACATAGGACTATGTTCAGATTCCCACTTGAGTGCCACTCAGATATCATTTTATCCTTATCAGGGTGGGATTTCATTTGTGCGTTTTTGACAAATCACATGGCTGCAGAACAGAAAGGTTCTTGGATCTCTCTATCTTATAGCCAACAGGCTTAAAGAATACATTAATAGGCTTAAAAAATTTGTTATTCAAAAAAATGTACAAACGTAATAGCACCCTTCAGCTAATATTCTATTTGTTGTATGACCAATTTTTCAAAAATGTTGATTGTAGAATAGAAAAATTTTTAAGTTTCTAGAAATCCTCTATCTTGTAGCCAATCAAAACACTTGAAATTTGTCATAAGAGAAATGAAATACTAGCCTTATTCTAAATGTTAAACAAGGATAAAATGATGCCTTGGCTGTACTCGCTTCGATGCTCACAACGCTTTAAGCGTCATTTCATCCTTGTTGTTTATTAAATATTAAACCAAGACAATTGATGCTCATAAACACTGTAAGTGCCAAAGCAAATACAGCCTTGGAGAGCACTCAGATAAGAATCTGAACACATCCTAAAACACAGAATCCTTAATAATTTACTAGATTACATGTAAAATCATATCAAGCTATAGTTTTTACATTAACACAAAACAATAAATATTAAGATTAATATATATTAATTAATTAATACTTATTAACACAAGTACTACAGATAATTGTCAACTAAATGAATTTAATCTCATTCATATGATATTTTGTATAGAACAATAATACCTGTATAGTTTTATAAGAAACACTTTATCCAACAGAAAGAATATATACAAACAATGCTTAACTATAAATAACACATAAGTCAATTTGGCAAAGTATCAAATGCATGCAATAACAACTTCAAACATCCTGATGTCATAGCTAGTAATTATAATAATCATTTGGATATACAATTGTTATAAAAATATCTCCATAAAATGTGTTCAATGATAAAATTTATTATAGACAGAACCTACCTATTATCCATTTTTCCTTTCATCCATTGTGGCAATGAAATTCCACTACCAAGAGATCTATCCTGCTGCCTTGAAGTACCCATCTTTGTGTAATTTTATAAACCAAATAGCAAGCTTGAATTCTTTATGTTAAGTAATAATTACGCGTGCTCTTAGTGCAAACACTACCGTGTCTGCTGATACACGAATGCACAAAATGACATGCCAAAAGATGATGCTTTGTTATTCATCTTATCTCTCACAAGATCGGTATAGGTATACGTGCTATTGTTTGTACAGTTGTATAATACAAGAAATTAGTAGCAGCAATTCAATTTTTAGAATTTCGACCAAATTACCGTTCGATTAATCTGCAAATTCGCAAATGTTTAGGATACAGAAAAAATAAAAATCTATTATTAATATACAATGAAAACAGATATGTGAGATGAATCAATACTCACTTTCTTGTTCATGGATAAAATATTAATAATAATCTTTATAATTATAACCTGCCACTTCTACAGAAATAGCAACGAATAAACGCAATACATATTGATAATAATAAGATTACGCCATGTTGATAATCGTAATGGCTGACAAATCGCTGCTGATGGCGCATGCGCACAATCGCCGCAATCCTAGTGAACACTAGGGAATAAGAGTACGACACTAGAAATTTAACCTGAGGTCTGTTTTCTGTGGCTGAACTAGTGTACACTTTTGGAACTTAAAGTGAGAAAGATATACGTTTGATATTTGTTTAAAGCGAGAAAGAGAGTTCTAGAATAGTCTAGTGCAGGAACAGAAAACAGATCACCGAATATTGTAATTGCGTTCTAAAATTTATCGAAATTCGATTGTTGTCTTGCGTAATGTTTACTGTGCTTTAAACACGTGAGACAGTTAAAAGTTCGGAAAAACGCAAATGGAAAGGGAAAGATATATCCGTATTAAAGAGAAAGAAAACAATTTTATTATCTTAGATAAATGAAAAGAATACACTCGATTACTGATCAAGAAACAATTTATGGCAATATTTAAATACAGTATGACAGAAGTGGCAGCAAATTTGAAATCTATCTGCGACAAGATATCGTATGCTGCCACGAAGAGAACATCGGTATTCTTTTCCGCGCATTTAGTGTTTAGTATTAATTAAATATATAAGTTTATGTATGTAACTATTTAGTACATTTTTTTAATGCGCTAAATAGTTATATAGAGAACATTGCATTTTCGAACGTTAATGCAAAGGTTAACTCACATAGATCAAAATATTTATCTTATTCTCGCAGGAGTATCAACATTATGAACCGCGACTGGTAGCTGTTAGCAAATTGCAATCTACTGTCTCGATAGTATCCGCATATGAGGCTGGTCAAAGAAATTTTGGTGAAAATTATGTAAATGAGTTAGTGGAGAAGGCCTCCAGCCCATTAATTCTTGAAAAATGCCAACAAATTCGATGGCACTTTATAGGCAATTTACAAAGGAATAAAATCAATAAAGTTTTATGTATACCAAATTTATACATCATAGAAACTGTCGATAGTGATAGACTTGCAAATGCGCTCAATAATTCATGGCCAAAATTTCGAAAGAGCAATGACAGCAAGTTAAATGTCATGGTACAAGTTAACACAAGTCAAGAAAAGGGTAATGAATTATTTATTATATTTTATGTGTGAGAAGATTATATTAGATAAAGTAATTTTTAGTTCAATACATTTTTTTGGATTATCTTGTATAAGAATAATTGTAATTACAGAAAAAAATGGTTGTGATATTACACAAGTATCAACCCTTGTAAAACATGTCATAGAGAATTGCTCTAATTTGAATTTTATGGGTCTTATGACAATAGGAATGTATGGGTATGATATTGAAAATGGACCAAATCCTGATTTTATTTGTTTAATAAAGTGCAGAGAAAAGATACATGATGAATTGGGAATTGATGTAAAAGATATTGAATTATCAATGGGAATGTCCAATGATTATGAACATGCGGTAAGGTCTTTGGATAATTGTGAACAGTGTATTAAAATATATACAGAGTTTATGTTCTTATATGAAATGCATCTATTATTTTCTATTATAGATTGAACTTGGTAGTACAAATGTGAGAGTAGGAAGTGCCATTTTTGGCGACAGACCACAAAAGAATAATTAAGAGATATATTAAATCAATTTTGTCTTAAGAAAAAAGGATATAAAGTGGAATAGGGATATATATTTGTTATCTTAGCATCTCAGATATGTATGTATTATAAACATTCTTTCTGCAGCAAATGTAGTTAATTTTGTCTATTTTAAGGTTATCAGAATCGAATGTTTGCTATATTTTTCAGATCTTTCCTAAATTCTTATTTTTATTTTGATTTACAAAATAACAATATTATGTGTTCTATCTTTCATTCCTTTTATTACTTTAATCCGATCAGTAAGTATAAGTACTAAAGGAATTATACAGAAAAAAGGACAATTTAGGAGAAAATGATTATCTTGAAAGAAGAAACCTTAGAAAATTATTATATACAGAGAAAATTATTTGTAAGGGCTGCATTATAGATAAATACATATATATTACAATTACAAATAAATGTACATAATGATGTGTAAAATGTTAATAAAGATCATTAAGGTATATTAGAATTAAATTTATGCTCTGTTATATGTTATATTGATAACTGTATTATTATCTCATTTTTTAATTACAAAGACTATATATTATAAATTCCATTAATTTTGTGTTAATATTTAATTTCGCGTTTTTATAAACTAAGCAAGCATAAATTAATTATTTGATTTTTTTGATCTTATCTCACATGAATCTACAAGGAATTTTTGTAGGAAATTTCCTGCCTTATTTTCTTGTATGTCTCAATAATAAAATGTAATTAATAAATTATAACATGAACTTGATATAGAAACTTTTAACAATCAGTGAAATCTACAAATTAATAATTAAAATAAGTTAAGAAAAATAACGTATTTATCTTTTATTTTAATACAAATCTGATATTTTTGTAATAGGGAATTATATGTGCATTTAAAAATAGAAATTGTTTTATTTCTTCTTATCGTTGTTAAGATTAATTTATAGGTTTATATTAACTGGATAGCAATTATTAGTAAATACTACTACATAAATTTTCCCACCCTTCTCTCAAACCTTTCTAGATCAAATTTTATAATTGATATAAATATGACACACTTTATATAAAATAAAATAAATTTTATAAAATTCTTATTAATTTATGCATATAACATTGATATGATAAAAGGGCGTGGTCCAATTCCAATCCTCAGCCTCATTATGTCTTACAGACACACATATGTAGGTCACCTTCACCGTTTTTTTTACAGGAGCATGGTTCAAATGTATCTTGTGCAAGGTCACGAATTACGCAAGTTACTGCTCTTAAAAGTTATGGAAGTCAGTCAGTTACTTTCTTCACAAAATCACAGGTCGTATGCAATATCATTGTTCGCCCAGCAGCAGTGATTGATCGGTCAAAACTGAAGCGCTACGTTCTACATACCAAGAATTAAAAAGATGTTTACATAACAAAAACTATTGAATATTTTTACATAAATTTCGTGCTGCCATCTTTTGTCTCTAAAATTGTGATAGAAATTATTCTCTGTTTGATTTTAGGGAATACAATTTCATTTTTTGAAATTAAAATTTTTAATATGTTTTATTAACTTTTACGCATTCTTCGATGATAAACAATTCTTTCACACGTTACTCGAAGACAATTTTGCTTATAATCGGTACTTCCAAAAATTCACGAAAATTTATTTGTACGAGAAGGTATTCTTTGTATTTTAGGGGAATACAAGTTGTATGGTATTTTTAAAAATAATTTGAAATTTAAAAGATATTTTGTAATATACTTCTCTTACGTGCTTCTTTGTGCACACTCAAGCAATAACTAAAGAAAATCAACTAAACGTAAGTTGTCCCTATAATATACGTCAATAAAGAGCTCCCGTGCAACTTGACGTAAGCTTGCATCAGACAATCGTAAATGAGGAGATTGGTGCCCACTGTAGTCCACGTGTGATGCAATATTCATATACGCGAAGCACGAGATATGCACGATATTGCATATAAATTTAAAAGTGACATGAGAAATCAAGTTATATGTTTATGCTTTAGTATGTAAGTGTAGGTAAGTATGATATGAAATAGAATTTATATTTATTGATATTCGATTATATTGCACTACGAATTTCTTTTACATTTTTTAATATTTTTATATTTTTTTATATTTCTTTTACATTTTTTATATTTTTTATATTTTAAAAAAATGAATGCAAAGCATTGTTTGAAAACTGTAGAAAGAATTGTATGTTTAAAGTGATGGGGCATGTAAAATAGTATAAGCGGACGTAAAACTTGAATAATAAATGAATGAATCGATCATATAATGAATCGAACACTCTCGGGAATTCAAAACCAATATTTAAAAATACATAATCTACTTCCATTATAATTTTTTACGTTTTCACTTTTCAGTAATCTGTACTATGAAATGCAAATGTTGTCATATAAAAAAAGGTATTGATTGTCACGTATATCACATATACATGCAGGACAAAAATCACGATTTTGCGCTCCGAATGTCATAATTACACACGATTGTAGCAACAAAACAATATTAGAACCTTAACCCGCGTAATCATTGAAGGCGTAAAATATTCATAGCTTAACAAGATATAAAATTTTATAACTATATGATGCAATAACGCCTTACTATGAACAGTAGCATTCGTACATTTACAACAAGAAGTTTTTGGAAAAAATGCACCATGCACGCACTGGACAGGTTTTCTTCAGCACGTATAAATAGACTGTTAGATTTAAACAGAGCATTCAATCGTTCCTCGTGTTTCAACGAGAAATAGAAAAACAATCATCATGTTCAAAGTAAGTGCCTTCAAAACAGAAACAGTTTTAATTATTATTATTTGCGTAATTTTCATATTCATTAATTTATAGAAGTTGATAAAAGTATATATAATGCTTTAAATTAAGATTACAGATTATTACACTTTTCTAAAATTATAATATTTGTATTAATTATAAGAAAAATGTATAATTCATACACTACATGATTATTAACGTTTTAATTTCATAAAACAGAACGCGATTATCAACATATATATAAAACTAATATTTTTATTTTGAGAGATTGGACACGATAATGTAATTAGAAAAGACGAATTTAAATGACCAGTTAATATTTTAATAAATAATAAGATATAATATTCCGAGAGTTTTAATTAATTAAAATAAATAAGCGTTATTACATCTTGCAGCTCTTGGTGGTGTTCGGCCTCTTGGCTGTCGTAAACGTCTGCTATGCCGGTTGGGTCGCACCTGCGATCGCACCAGCTGCAATTGCTATTGCTCCCGCTAAAAGTATGGATAATTTTTATGTCACATAATATATAAGACTAAAAAAGTTAAACATTCTGTACATTAACGATTTTGGAACCATCAAAATCACGTTTATCATATACACGAATGGTAGCCTTAATAAGGCTACTATTATTACGGATAAATTATCATTATTACGGATAAATGGTCGTTAGAGGATGTGAATTATTTTTCTCCATTTTTTTTTCATCTGTCTACCTATAAATCTAACATTCGCTATAAATTTGTTTCAGCTGCGTGGGCTCCTGCCGCTGGATGGGGTGGTGCCGGATGGGGTGGTGCCGGATGGGGTGGTGCCGGATGGGGTGGCGCTAAATGGGGTGGTGCCGGATGGGATAATGCTGGATGGGGTGGTGCTAAATGGGGGGGTAGCTGGGGTGCCGCTCCTGGATTAGTTAAGTTAGGCTAAATCTTTTTTACATTGATAAAAAACCCGCCACTATCCCACCAACTACACATCGCAGAATGTACCTTGCCTTTAATATTAGATACATACAAATTTGTTGATGCATTTCGCAATTCTCCCTGAAGTCAATATTCACAAAATTCTTTCCTTTTTCTAAGAATATTTTTCCTCCATCCCACTTGAAATTGTTGATAAATTGTTGATAAGCGCCGCGACAAAAAAAACATGAAGTAATAATAAAATTTCACATAAAAAACTCGAATGTTGTTCTTTCATGTTTTATTCCCAGCGTCTTTCTTCTTACAAATTAAACTCTTCCTAAAATAAAATAATATGCGTAACACGCGTGAGATAGTATATAGCTTCTGCCGCACATCTTATCTCCTTATGATTCGCAATTATAATCGATCTCTTAAAGAACGACTAAACTTATGGGTTGAAAAATAAAACTTATTAGATTATAGATTACAGATTTTTATTGCGTAACTACTTACATTGTAGTGTCATTAGTTTGTCACATACAGAAGTACATAGTTACAAGTATCGAGGGTTTTCGAATAAATATATGTATATCATATCATATGAAGTCGTAATACGGATGTGATCGATTTAGTAAGCATAAGCAATTCCGATCGGGCTGCTGTAGCTCATATGAGATACCTCAACGGCCGGCGAGTAAGCGACTCCAAGAGCAGCCGGACGCACAGCCGCTGGTATAGCGGCTGCAGCGTAAGTCAATGGGGCTGGATGAGCAAGATGAGCATAGGTAGTGACAGCAGGATTAGTTACACGGATATCGGTCTTGCTCGAGCTAGAGAAAGGTGTATCGATGGTTTTCGTTTGCGTGGCCACTTGCGCCAGATTACCATGGCTACGTAATATATTATCGGATGTCGACGTGATGGCGGGTTGAACGTGCGCTATCGGCTCGATATGATACTGCAGGGCGGAAGGCAGTCCGATATAGCCGGCATTAGCCACAGCCAAAACGCAGATGATTACGAATAGCTAAAATAGAATTTTCAATAATGACTGAAAACTTTAAGAGCACAGATTTATTCTAATAAATATGTTTCCTATACTAGATAACATCTTATTCATTGTAATTGATTGTACATACCTTAGCTGCCATTATGTTATGCGGGGAAGATCCTGCGATGACCTTAATCGTGTCTGAACCGAAATACGAATGCTACAATCCATGACAATCGGTACTTTTATACTTGGCGGACAAACGACGAGCCACACGAAATCTTTCGGTACCCTCAGTTCGCCATGGTGGGATATAGGGTCAAGGATATTCTTAATATTGCGCCATCCTCCGAATGTCTTGCTCCCTGTTGAATCATTATGCCCTTGCGATGATTTATAAGTACCTAATATATACTGGATATGTTTTCTCTTATCTATAACATGAGAAACAATATTAGTTATCTGTCTCTATCTCTAACAATATTTAAATTTTATAAATTTGTAAAACCTCATTATTTTATGATAATGCATTGAACTTCTAAAGACATTTACAGCTTACACATGATATAATGCAAGAAAAAACAAAGTAAAAGGCCTAAACAATTTCAAGGATGCATAGTAATTAAATTCGTTCAATCAGAAATTCATCCTAAATAAAAAAGGAGTAAAATTTTGAATTTTTTAATTTTTTTTATAAGACTTAAAGATGTATCACACGTATAGTTCCTGGAAAGAAAATTAAATTTGTTGGAAATGTATTTAATACTTGTACCTCAAGTAAGTTATATACATATGAAAGTTACGTGAATAAGATTACATTTTTATTTAATGACACATTTTTGTCGTTTATTTATTTTATTTGTTATTAATTTTTCATTGTTAAAAATTAAAATTTAAAAAATGATAAAAATCTAAATTTTTTTTATAAGTTCTTTAAATTTCAAAATAACTTATGCAGTTTCACTGCGATTCACTGATAAGTAAGTTACAAAGTACAAAAAAAATATTTGTTTATTTACTGGGCAACTAATCCATGCATCGCAATGTAACGCTATACATAAATAATCTTGAATATATTATGTATTTATATTAAAGAATTGAGATTTTTGTCATTTATTTTATAATACATTTCCATGCATTTAATAGAATACATATTTAAAAAATACTACTATTTATTAAAATAACTTATGATCCAGATAAGAAACCGTCACTAAATTTGTTTATTTTTAAATGTAATTTAGAATAATTTATAATTTTTTTCATAATTTTGTTATTATTTTGAAAAATATGTATGAAACATCCTTAAAGCGAATTTTATATATATATATGTACATATTTATATATGTAGAAAATTATATATACATATCAAAATTTATTATATTTTTGCAAATAAAATATAAGCAAAAGAAATAAAGCAAAGCAATATGGAGAACTTGTGTAGCCTTTCTTGTTTTGCTTTCAATTTAATATATATATATATTTACAAATATAAAATTTCAATTTTTATATATTGTTATATTAAAACATTATATGTGCGAATTTTATATCGATTGGTGCCGCACCTTCGTCTTCAAAACTGGAACATCCGGCTTGACCACGCCTCTGAGCGGAAAGTAGTCTAGCCTTGTGCTCCCTCTCAAACTTTTTCTTTTGGGGCGTAACTCGTTACAATTACATTTCATTCTGTATTCAGGAAACTGGTATCAATGGCATTATCAGCATCTTAATTTTACGTAAATAAAGATAAATCTGCATTCCTTGTTCCAATTCTGTATGAATTCTTGATATACTTTAAACATTGAGAAATTTTACTTGTTAGTAAATAATATGGGGGAGAGACTTAAATATATAACATGCATAATAAAATAAAAAAATATTAATAATAAGATTTATCCAAATATTATATATAATACAGTTTTTATTGCTATAAAAATAATACCAACGATTGTAGAAAAATATGATCTGATGAATTATATATTCTTTTTTATTAGTTATACATCTACAATTTATTCTATTTCCACTAATAACATTGAGCACGTGCCATCATAGAAATTTTTTGCGCCTTCTGCACTATATCAGGACAACGTCGTCGCCTTACTAATCTGCAATCTTGAAAAAAACCTTCGTTCCTTGGAAATCCATGCGATCCGTCAGCATAAGTCACTAAACCTGTGGTTAACGAATAAAAAATATATACAATATCTTTATTTTTAGACCATATATGTGAGAAACACAATCAATACTAGAAATTTAAAATGCCTATTACGGTCGAAGCTGGATCTTCGTTGCTTTTTAAATAATTCAATCTTGAATTACTAATATACACTATATATGTACTTGCATATGTACCATATTGTAGTATTTTTCAAACTGCGCGCCGAATCATTTTTCCGGACTAAATAAACGCAATTAAAACTACTCTAGTAATCGCGAATTAAATTGACAAGCAATTTAATAATTTTGATGCTACCATCAAGCATCATATATTATAAAGATGTTAATATATTAAAACTGTTAATAAATTTAAAATAAATTAAAAAATATATAATAATTTACATTTTGAATTACAATTAAAAATTATGTTTATATCTTAATCCGATAGTCAGAATAGTCGCAGCATTTTATTTGCAAAACTATGTGTGTGTGTGTGTGTGTGTGTGTGTGTGTGTGTGTGTGTGTGTGTGTGTGTGTGTGTGTGTGTGTGTGTGAACCTAAGCCCCAGACACGACCTCCACGAAATTCCCCTTCAAATTTCATTCCATCGGCTCGCCAGAACACACCATGGCCGTGAAACCATCCTTGCATAAATTCTCCTTCATATCTAAGAAAAAGAGAACAGTCTTATATAAATATATATGGAACGACATTCTGAGTGAAACGCGTAATTTTGGAGTAAACTTGCTGCATAAAACTTACTTTGCTCCATCGGGAAATACAATCACTCCCAAACCGGAGCATAATCCATTTTGAAATGCTCCATCGTACCGCGTTCCATCCAGAAGAACTAATAGACCAGCACCGTGTTTTAGACCCCTACGATTCCAATCGCCAATGTATTTTGTACCGTCGTCATATTTGTATGCACCATTCTTTGCCACACCTGTAGACGCATGAACACAGGTATTTAAAATAAGAAAATCAAATATTCTATTCTATTCAATAAAAAAAATGCCTTTTCTTCTCAACGTTTTATATACAATTAACGATATTTCAATTAAATAAATAAAAGAGAATTCTAATCATATATTAAAACAAATGAAATAAATGTTACAATCACATATTCTTACCGTCGCCCATGTCTGCACTGTACTGAACGCATTTAAGTTAGCTGCGATTTTAATCCACTTATAAAAATCAATTCTTTATTCAATTAAGAAAGATATCTAGAATAAACAAGTATAAAGAGATCCTGGGAGACGCTCGGGAAAGTACATTACGGATTAGACACGTAAATAAAAACAATCACATACAACAAATATAACATGTTAATATTTAATAATAAGAAATTTACATTTTTCAGAATGTATATAAAGTAAGATTAAAGATATTTATAAAATCGCATTAATATCTATAATATATATATATCGGAGACACGGTAGTGTCTCGGCATTAAAATATATGTATGTATACAAAACCGAATTGCAATATCGTTCATTCCTTTGACTGTTCTCCAGATGCACCCACTAAGTACCATCGTGTTCTCGCATTTACTGCAGCCTTTCTTACTAAACGTTTACGATCATCGATTATTACCCCCAATTTGTCTAATACAGTTTGTTTGTATGGATTGATTAGAATAGTGGGATAATTAGCATAATGTACTAGGCATTCTAAAACCGCAATTCTAACACCCTATCAATATAAGTATTGATTTATATAGTGATACAATAAAAGTTGGAAAAGTCAAAATTAATGTAAATAATTACCATGATTCGATGCGTTGATAATTGCATAAGTCTTGGTATAACACATTGTAAATAATCAGAAAATACGTCGTGTTTAGTGTCAAGTAATAGTTTAAATGACATCAATGTCCAAAATACTAAATATTCATTGCTAAGAGATAGAGACTCAATCAACAGCGGTACTAACTAACAACATAATGTATTAATCAAAATATTTTTATTGTAAGATAATATTTTATCATTAATGCATCATAAAAACTTACCTCAGTTAAATGTAAAAATAATAATTCTTCAGGCATTTGTTCTAGTAAATGTACCAAAGCAATAAGATAATTCTGTCTCATTGTGCTTGTAAAATTAATATTTTGTCGTAACAAATAT